TCAGGATCCAAACAGAATTTCTTGGCATCTCTATGACAACTGTTTATCCAGGCTGCCGCCCTACCTCCACCTTCTCTTTGGGATCCGGGAGGCATGTTGCAACTCTGCGTTATTACCTTCTTCAAAACGTGTGAGTCCAAGCTCTAGAGCAAAGTGGGAGAGGAAATTCTCACAGAGGCTATTTTGACACTGGATATTCAGGAGAGTGACGCCCCTGGGCAGCTGGAGATGGGAGTGACACCAGCACATGGACCTATTTCAGGCCTGGGTGAGTGTAATGTTTTCCATCCAGCCTATGACCTCTGATGACTCCAGTGGACAATACATTTGTGAACTGAACTTAGGAGCCACTTTCCTTAAGTTCCCTGGTGAAGGAGGGATCAGTGTGTCAAGGTCCAATTAGGAATTCTGGGACCTGATCTTTTTGAGTAAGTTTCGATCCCAAAGCCCCCTGCTTTTCAAAAATGGAAGATTCTTTTATGGGTACCTTGAAAACACTAATAGAAGGGTCTAAAAAAAAAAAAAAAAAAGATACGTCACTTGTGACAGAGAGGAACAGAGGCTCCTTTGCTTGTTTTGTGAATGTTCTCTGAAAGTGAGAAACACCACTCAGTTCTAATGAGTACTAATTTAGGGGACCAGCACCCAAAGTTTATGTCTTGGAGGCTTCAGAAAATAGCTGAAGCCTGTAATCACGAACCTGCCAGAAAATGTGTGCCCTTATTAAGTATCAACAGAATAACTGGCCAGTGTTTGAGACTCATGAATGTGGCCTTTCGGCTCCCCAAATTATAGAAGGATATTTTATTTGACCTTTCTTATTAGAGATCTGTGAAAATGACACGCATTTGTTAGAGCGACTCAGGACACATGGTTCAGCTTGCTGCTGCAGCAATATAGCCCACATTAAATTAAGTTAAAGGTGGCATTTGCAAAATAAATAAATAACGGAGTTCCAATTCACTGCAAATGGTACAGGAGGCCAGTAAGTGGGAAGTCTGGAAGAGAAGGACTTCTTTTAGAAAGATGTTTTACAGGACTTTTTCTGCATCATTAACTCTTCTGGAATCCTGAACATAACATGATGAATTTCCCTAAAAAAGTAGCTACTGTTTAATTCTGAATCACTTCAAAGAGGCACAGTAGAAGGAATCAAAGGAAACCAAAAAGACCAGTAGATGTGAAATTTGCCAAGGGGAAAGAAAAAAAAAAAAAGAACCATGAAGGTTCTAACAGATTTTGACCATGTCCTGAAAATACCACTGATTATTTTGTTAATACAGAGTTTTACTGTTCCACGCGACTGAAATAAGTCTCTGTATTCGTTGAACACAAGATATTTTTATTACAATAATTGTGTCATAGTTCTTTAAAAAGGAACATATATAAAACCTTGACAAGAATCTGTGTCTCAAGTGGCTCTTGATATGTGTACGTGAGTGTGTGTGCTTTATTATAACAGATACTACAACCGATCCACAAACTGAGAAGGACTACAAAGATACTGGCAGTCTTGTCTCTAACCCAATATGTAATTTTAGAAGAAAAACAAAATTTCCCCGAAGAGAGGTAAAGCAATTTGGAGGGTGAGGGAAAATAGGAAAGTTGGCTGAGGTCTTCTAATAGTTATTTAATAATAATAATCATGATCAGCCTTTAAAAATGTCTTTGGAGTAAAACCTACCCAAGGGAAAAGAAAGAAAACCTCCTAAAAATTTCATATCCCCAAGTAGCACTACATTACGAACCATCTGGAAAATGTCAGATTATGGTGTCTACCCTAAGAAATTCAGTAAACTTTGTCTTCAATTACCATTTAGAATAATCAACTAAATTTGAAATTTCAATTTCAAAACCCTCAAAAGACAAAGCTGGATTAGGAATCAGATTTTAAAAGTCCCCTGAAAACCCATCTGTTTATATGCACCCTTCTTGCACCCCATGTTATCCTTGATCTGTACCCTAGGTTGACGGAAGAAACACAGTGGAATACAAAGGTGCCCACATGCTGCTACTGTGAATTCAAGTCACCACATATATGTTCTGCGCTTTCCCTTATTATGTAATCACTTAGGGGTCATAAGGTTTCTTTTCCATTCAGTAGCAGTATGAGTCTCAAACTATTCCTCTATTTGGCTATCCATTCCTTTAATCGGCAGCGAACAGCACTGGTATTTTAATGATGTTGATTATATTGTCGATGGTCTAGTCTATGGCATAATCATTTAGTAGCCTACTAGCCTTAAGCATTTTTATTACTGCTAAATATTTTTACTCATATTGAACTGTGAATTAGGAAAATTAAATCTGAAAATCTAAATATTCAGAAAGAAATACAGAACCATAGCCCCCCACCCCCAGTCTCCTATAATCTGTAGATGCTGATGAAAAGAAAACCAATGAGTATTCACTTCTCACAGATAGAGGTCACTAATGGACTGAATTTGAATCACTGTGGCAGAAACCACAAAGTTATTAAAGTAATCTACTGAAAAATGAACTTGTATTGAAATTAAAGATACCAAAGATGATTATCCAGAAAAGTCTGACATGAATAGAAATAAAATTGCATCACCTTAACCTTTTCTGAGTCTTCTAAACAGAGAGCAATAACCAAGAGCTGCTCCAGGCTGCTTTGTAATTTCAGACACAGGAGATCTGAACGCAGAAGCAATTCTTCCTTGTGGAGCCCGCGCTGAAGTTCAGATGCTCATACTGTGTCTCTCCAGAATAAAGCTTCTGAACCGAAGGTACTTGAGACTTTCTTGAAACCACAGCTTCAAACTGGAAAGACTGAAGGTTGCTTTGGGGAGTTGTGTTAAAATCCTAAATCAAACTCTCCAGTGATCAGAATAGAAATGTAATAGGCATCCAGGAGGATTCCCGAGAGACCCAGTTAGGTTCAAGTCAAGCTGGGAGCACATCACATCATCTGACACCTAACCCACAAATACCACCATCATTGCCTCCTGGGCCCTAAGGCCTTACTGCAGGAATCTACTTTCTTGTGTTCAAATCATCCCCTGGAATTTCTAAAACTGCAAGGAATTGTTAAGACGGGCATTTATTTTTTAACCAGCATTCCATCTAGGCTAGGTTTGTAATAGGTTCTGCTACAGTATAGCTCACCCAATTCCTTTTACAATTTCTTGTACCTACTGGCAGAGACATGGAATAATGCTTAAAATTTCATCTTCCAACCTTCTCCAGCCACAGATTTTTGCAACTCAACATGACAGCTTGTGTTGCACTGTCATCCTTGATTATTAAATATCCTTAAATGATTTAACCCAATTGTGTTTGAGGCTTTTGAGACAAAGAGGAAGAAAAGTTGTTTTTAGGGGAATCAATGACACTGAGGGGAAATTTAAGCAACTTTTCATGGTATGTCTATTTCTCCAAAATGTATTCTCTTCTAATATGTGGCCTGTGGATCACACATCCAGCTTATGTTGCTTAAAGATGTTTAAAAAAAAATGTCCAGTTCTAACAGTTGTGATACTGAACTGAAATTTGCATTCATACTGCAACAACCAAATATATCCCTGGACAAATGCCAACCTGCATTCTATTTGCCTCAAAATGTTTAGGGGATCCTTTCACTGGAGATTTAATAAGATCCTACTGCTTAAGTCCACAGACAATATTGGTCCCGATATGGCAGCCCACCTTCATATTAGCTTTTGGTGGGAAGAAGTTAGACATAATAAATTTAGCAATAAGCCTGTGAGTGAGTGGACATGCCCCGAAGAAAGCTCCCTGAAACCTTGTGTGATTAAAGAGCCTCCCAGCTGAGTGGGGAGCAAAAGCTCCCATTTGGAAGAAGCTTTGCATAGCAAATGCAGCATGTAAAGAAATCTAATCAGTACCTTGCACTCCAGCGCTAGCATTTACACGGATTTGTGCCTTGCACTTGATTAGCTTACTGTAAGCTTTACAAGAGATTCCCTCCACTAAAATCAATCAAAAGCTTTTGGTGACTGATTTCCATTTACAGAGAAGGCAAGATGAGTGTTCAGGTGAATAAATAATGATAATAAAGATGATAGCAGCAGCAAAGGTTGAGCTGCTTCAAAACTCAAACTCCTCTGGGGGGGGGAGGGAGTGGAGGACGGTGAGTTAGGGCTGGAATCTTTTCGCAGTCAAGAGTGAAAAGCTGAGGCTATTTTCTTAGTTAGCTTAAGTGAGGCTGCCGTTCCAGAAACCTGACCATCCTCTCTCCTCTGCCCTAGTCTCTGATTCTGTACACACCAATCCCCCACACCGAGGAATCATGGTGCATCAGGCCACCTAAGAAAAAAGGAGCATCTCCACAACAGCGCTAACTACCCCCCACCCTGACACACACACAAACACACACACACACACACACACACACACACACACTGGTTAAGGCTTTCATCTCATCTTTCAATCAAATTGCCACTTCCAAAGTTCCTATTTTATGAAGCCAGAAGGTGAACAGAGGGAGGGAAGATTCTGGAGATGTCAAAAGGGGAGAAGGATATTTTTTCCCCTTTGCTTGAAATTTACACACGCAGGCGCACACACACAGATTGGACCAGCTTAATGTAATGGGAGTGGGCGCATACCATTTTTTAAAGATGCTAAATAAGGGTAAGAAAGTGAGAGGGTGAGGTGGGAGTGAGTGAAATCCATGCATCACGTCCCTGGATTGGGGAATATTGAAAGCCTCTCAATCCGTATTCCAAATATCCAAAGATCTACAGGATGAGACAGCGGCTGGGGCCAAGGGTTCTCCTCCATTCCCGGAGGAGAGCCGCCTCTCCACACAGCTGCCTACCCCAGGTCAGGGCAGCGCCACGGGTCCCTCACCCAAAGCGGATCTTCCAGGTCTAGGAGCCCATCCCTGGGAACTTGAACTTCTCCAGGAACTCTCACTTCCAGCCAGATTTGACCGGTAGAGAAAAAGCGGCTGGTGGGGAGCGGGGGAGCGGGATACCAGCCAGGGGGCACGGGAGGTTGGGGGTGCGCGTTACCTGCGAAGGTTCTCGAGGTTTCCTTCCAGCCCTGGTGGTAAAGCCGCTCAGCGCCGCGTCCTCCCCCAGATCCAAACTTTTGCTGGGTCCTCCGGGTGGCGGCGGCGGCGACGGCTGCAGAAGCCGGGCCCGGTCGCCCGCAGCGTCGGGGAGCGGGGGTGCGGACACCAGAGCTTCAGAGCGGCGCGCGCCTCCCCGCAGCCGGCCAGCGCCCGGGCGCCCCGCTCGCCTGGCTCGCTCTCGCCTTCCTCCCCTACGGAGCCGCGGCATCGTCTTCCCCCTTCCTCAGCCACCTCCGCCTCCAGGGCTCGGGCATGCCACTTTCTCTGAGCTCTGGCCGCCGCAACCCCAGCTTCTTCTCCGCTGCCTCCCCCTCTCCGCCTCGGCCCAGCCGACGAGTCCCGAAAGGCGGGCGACAGGGGAAGGCGGCGGAGAGCGGCCCCGCAGCGCCCCGGCGCCTCAGACTCCGAGAACCCGGGGGGCGGCTGGAGAGCGCGCGGGAGCGACTCGGAAGCCCGGGGCCCCCAGACTGCGCGGAAGCCGGCGCGGGGCGCAGCGCTGGCTGCGCGGGGGCGGCGCGGGGCTCGCTCCAAGTGCTGCGCCCACCCGGCGTGGGTCCACAGGCTGCTCCGACCACACTGCTGCCTCGGTCCTCCGCGGCCAGGCTAATGTAGGCGCCAAGGCCCCCACCCCCACCCCCTGACACCCCCGGGGATGTTTACAGTAATGAATTCGCTGGATCGCCCCCGCCGCTCCCGCGCTCCTCCTCTCCCTCAGTCCCTCTCGCTCTGGCGCGCTCCCCTCCTCAAGCCCTCTTTCTCTCCCTCCCTCCCTCACTCCCTCCCTCTCGGAGTCCCTCCCACATTTCTGGTTTAAAGAATGCTCGGGAGGCGCGGCTGCAACCCAAAGCTTTCCAAGAGGCAAAGTCAGTCTCGGCTTTTAACCCTGTCGTTCCTGAAGACTTGCCGAGCTCAGAGCTCCTACACCACGATGCCGCCCAGGCCGTGACTTTTCCTTTCCACCCTGTACCGCCCCAACTCCCAACTCCTAGGGAGAACACCACCATCCAAGCACCGAAAGTCGACTTTTCCCCTGCCCACCCGATGTTGTTCTTGCCAGTTAGAGGGCCTGTTATTTAGACACTGAAAAATGATCGAAACCTAAGATTAGAGGGTAAAAATATAACGTCTCTCAACCAAGATGGCGTTATTGTAAATGCAGGCAACCGGGGTGAGTGCCCCCCCCCACCGCCCAGCACCCCTTCCCTGATGCCAGAGCTTTAAATGAACGGTAACTGGGGAAATAACCCGAAGTTTAAAGTTGCATTATGTTAAACACTGCATTTTCTCCCTTCATCGTGGCCGCTGGAATAAGCAAGGTTCACTTTCCCCAAAGATGACAGCAGACGCCCAAATCCAGATTCAGATTTAGGAAATAGGCTTGACAGATAAAGTCTCATTTGTATACGGGTGATGTTTCCACTTTGCAATCTCTTTGCAAAGGATAGAGTAGCATAAGAAAACCAGATGCGTCTCTCCCATAAAAAAAAAAAAAATAACAAACAAAAAAAAAAGTACTGGTTTTCGCTCCTGGTTTCATTGCTGCTCCTCCGGCCTCCAGTAAATTACTGTCATGTTTTAACAAGTCTTAGAGAGAGGCTGAATCTGAACAGAAGAGGGAGAACGAGCTCGCGCCTTGCGCTGGGCTACGCTTGAGACGCGCCGTCGGTGGGGCCAAGGAAGCAGAAGAGCGCGAGATTAAAAGTAGCTCAGGACCGACTCTCTAGGGATTCGCTGGGCTTTAGCGACTGAGGCTTAGAGCAGGGGCGGTGCCCACCATTGGCTCAGCTCCGGATGATTTCCGGACGCTCCCCAGCCGCGACCGCTTTTGCCATTCTCGGTTCAAAGCCTGAATCGCTTGGCACCACTTCCTCAATTGTTTTTATTTCCTTCGCATCCCTGTTGTGTCTACCGCCTTCACGTTTTTGAGCGCCTAAATCGTGTTAAGGAGACTTGGAGAAACGCCCAATTTGCCTCCCAAACACAAACCACGCACGGATCCACCCAGACGCACGCCTAGACGCACGCTGGCACACGCGTTCACACGCGCGCACACACACACACGACCCGAGTTCATGTGCGTGGGTCGCAGTTCCTGTTGCGCTATGCAAAGATGATTAGGAAAATGCTTTCACTTATAGGTACTTTGCTGCTCTTCTCCCCTAATTAGCATGTGACTAATAAATGCGCAAAGGAGGAGGGGGCAGGGCTGGGAGTTAATCGCACCGGGACTGTGAGTGCCATCTTGCTGGGAGGCTCCGGGAGCAGAGCGCCAGCGACCACAGCAGTGGTGGCCTCCGTGTCCACCATCAGCTGCCTCCAGCTAAACACCACGCGCTCCAGGAGTTTCCCCAGCATCCAGTAGGGGTCCAGCCCGTCCCACTCACCCTCTCCCCCAACCCCTGGCTTCCTTTCCCTGGTTAGTGTCCCGACCTCAACTGACAACCTTGATCTTGAGGCCGATGGTAAATGAGAAGTGACCGCGCCAGCGCTGAAAGCGGCGGGAGCGAGCCCCGGACTGGTCAGCGCGGCGGAGGGATCTTTCCAGGCCATTTCGAGCCCTCGCGGGAGCGCGGTGGCCGTTGGAGGGGCTCTTCTCCAGCCCTCTTTACTGACTTATCCCCGCACTTAAAGCCACGGGTTGGGGCGGAGGCGGCTGCCCGCCCTTTCCCGCGTCCCACGCACGCGGCGCAGGAAAAGCAGCCCCAACTTCAGTTCCGAGTACTCCCGCGCCTCCATCGCCCCCACTGGCGCGCAGGGAAGACGCGCTCGCTGAATTCAGTGCCTGACCACCGAGGACCAGCGAGACTGAGGGGGACTCGGTGTGGGGGAAAGCAACCCAGTCCCTCACCTCCGCGGGGAACGAACTGGCATTGTCCTCATTTTAATCACTAACCAATCCCGCTTGCGGACGAGGGCTGAGCTGGTGACTTTAGACGCGACCACTCGGTAACAGGGCTAATGACATTAACAGCAGATGGAGAGAGCGTGGGGGTGGGAAAATGGGGGGCGCTACTCTGAGAAGTTAACAGATTCATTCTGGGAAGTGAGAGGCTGGAAGCCAGCAAGGTTGGAGGCTCCAGAACCCCTAATTTTAGGATCCACACCCCCAGCAGAGTAGCAAATTTGGCCTTCACCCGGAGTTCAACTCCAAAAATCCCTAGAGGAGGTGGATTCGACCTACGAATAGATCTTCGTCAAGTCCAGGGATTGCTAAACCGCCTGTTCTCTCTCGTGATAAAAGATAAAGCTTAAACCACCCGCCTGATTGACAACCCTTTTACCCCCACCAAGAGAGCGCGTGGGGCCCGCGTAGCGGCAGCTCGTGCGGCTACAGGAAACTCCCCCTGGCACCTCAGTCCCTTTACCTGGAGGCCGCGTCTCCACCAAGCGTGCTCATCCGAATCCGACGGGGTCCGGAAGGTGGAAAGGGAAGAACCTGGCGCGGCAGCTGCGGAGCTCCCGGGGCATGGTATTGTCTTAGGGGTCGCTGCCAAGGTCCCTCCTGCCCATCGTTGAGAACTGCCAACCTGGTCCGGAGCTGGGTGGACACGGCGGTGGGCGCCTGGCTGCTGCTGGACTCCCGAAACCGAGTCAGAGACGCACCCCGGGCGGGAGCAGCGCTGCGTCGGGGCGCCGAGGTGGAAGCCTCTGCTGTTAGTGCGGAGCGCTCTCTCCTCCGCGGCGACAATGGGGTTCGCCAAACTCGCAAGTGACGGCGACAGGTTTTGAACGTACTACTAACTACTAGGTACCCAGCCCGCGACAGAGAGCCGCTTTTCCCCTCCCCGCTTCCCTCCTACTGGGGAGGGAACTCATTTAACCCTGTGTGCGCTCTGCTCTCCCTGGAGAAGCTGGAATCGACTAGGAAACCGCAGGCGGCGGCTCCCGGGGCCAGAGCTTTGTTCACGTGCGTTTCCAGTGGGCGTGTTGCTGTCTGGGCCACTCGCGTGGCAGGACGCCAGTGGCAGGCTTCCAGCGCCGGGCTCCCGCAGCCAAGGAGCCCTAGCGTTTCATCCGGACCAGACCCGGCCCTCGGAATCTATTTTTTGCCTCCAGTTACCGGATTTATTGAAGTTGCCAGTGAAGTTGGGTTTGACTCCTTTATTTCTGCCCCCTCCCCGCCCCCGGTATGATTTCCTTTCCTAGCGCTACTTTGAAGATGTGGGACTCTCGGCTCATACTAACTCCAGTTTTTAACTGGTTTTGCGTGTGCGAGACGGATTGTGGCGGGCACCCACCACGCCTCATTTAAATGAAACCGCAAGGAATACTCCCACCCACCCCAGCGCCTACAAAAGTCGAATGACCACACATTGAAATGAGACTAGGACACCGGAAGACGGAGTGGGTGGGGGTGTTGGGTGTTGAGAATCTGGAAAGCAAGAGGCGAGTTGAAAGGGGGAGGAGGGGGAGAAGGGGAGGTGTCCGGAGGGAGGGGAGGAGGAAGAGAACGTTTTCTTGCTTTAGAATAGAATAAGCAGGAATAACACACACACACAAGAACGACGGGATGACAAGGCAGAAAAATATATCTGAATCCCAGCTCTGAGAGCAGCAGTTCAGCTTTTAGCGCCTAGGTTATATATTGGTAATATTGCCCCAGCTTCTTTCGAAGTGGTAAAAAAGAGAGAGACTATAATTGCTTCCGCCTTGGCCACCCAGGTGCTTTGCATTTTGTAAACAACTTCTCTGGACTCCTGAGTAGTTAACTGGAGTTGGAAGCGAATTATGCGGTGGCTGCGGAATGGAAGGTTCGACAAGAGAAAATTCTCACAGCGCGTCTGCTGTCGCCCTCACATCCCAGTGAGCCAGAAATCGCCCCGAGCGCAGACCGACGTCCTTATTGTGTTCCTTCTCTCTCTGTCTCCATTCCGGGCGAAAGCCGTGGGTTTAAACAGCGTTCAGAGAGTAACAGGTGGATCCCGCAGAAACTGAGTGATCTTTGAAAGAGATCCGGTCTTTTGCTACCGGATAGTTGTAGTATCTCTCTGCTCCATTCCCCAGCCACTGCGATCAGTGATCACCTTTCCAAACGCCTCCCAGAGCGCGGCAGCCCGC